CGTTTTTTGCAGCTATGCAATGCAGAAAACGCATATTGACGAGGGGTTGTCTGTGTGTTCGTCTGTGCCGATTTTTCTTCTCGAGACCTACAAAAGCTACGAGGCTGAAATCTTGGGGACTTAATCTGCATGCATGTACGAGCTCCCACTCCCGAAATGGGCGCTCTTACCCGCGTGGTACCCACGTAGGAGCCCGCCAAAGTTCTTTACAAGTAAGCTGCTAACCCGAAAGCTAGAAACGCTGGGGGGCTGAAATTTTAAGGGGACGTTCCCCGTCTAAGTGAATATTAATGAGCTCAAGCCCAGCCGCCCGGGTAAACGTGGTACTCATGTACGGGCCCGCCAAAATTTTTTTCTGGTAAGTCGCTAACTCGGGACTGGAATTTTGAAAGGATGTTTGGCATAGCTAGTAACTTGTGAAGTTACCCAACCGCTTTGACCAATGCCGCATCGTCTGTGGTCAGCCTGCCGGCGATCCTAAAGTTCGTTTTCGTTTGCTCAAGGAATCCCAACCGAAGCATTTGGTACGATTTTGGCCGATTCGAGATGTAGAAGCATCAAAATTTTGTACTCGGAATTCACCACGCCTAAACTTCGATGAAGCGAATTACTTTACCGACCAGAAACTGAACCATATTTCGAAAAAATTGAAAAAAATTCTCATTAATGATGAATTTTCTGTTAAGCCGATTGTAGCATCCAGGTTGACGCTTTGGTTTTTTTAAGGTTTACGAGAATGGGACTGTGTTTACGCCGGATGTTTTGGATATGACACCGGAAGATATTCGAGCGAAATTTTTGCAAGGCGTACGAAATGTTGCTGCTGTTTCGCTGGCTATTGGTCATCCAACACTTGTCTCAGTGCCACATTCACTGGCAAATGCACTCAAGAACTTGTTGGCTATTGCTATTGAAGCGGATATTGACATGAAAGAAGCAGCAACGGTTTGCTTTTTCCGTCGAATTCGAGGAGTTTGAGGAGTCCTTATTCACTCTATAAAAGGTGTGGGTATTTGGAAACAGTAACGAGATTCTGGCAAATGGTCGATCGGTTCCCCTGAGAAAGATGGAAGCAAGCTGATGGCGGTTTTGACTCTCTGAAATGGCCTAGTTCGAGCGTTCCCGCACGAAACGGATGAAAGAATCCTGAAGGGGCTGGTTGTCCCTCTTGGTGATAATAAATTACGGCCGTTAGAAGGCCACATCGTAACCTTAAATCGAATTGACGACCCAAAGAAATCAAAATATGGAACGGCCGGAGTTAAAAGTTAAAACGAAGGGTGGGATGAGTTTGTTAGAATAATTTGAAACTCGATCCTCCATCATATTTATACCACTAGACCATTACTGTTGGTTTCTGCGTCATGCACGCCAACAATTTTTCAAAAAATTTACTTTTTTCCTTAATTGGCTGCTTGCCAATAGCTCGGGT